TTGTATAGGTGTGACCCAGCTTGTATAGGTGTGACCCAGCTTCTATAGCTGTGACCCAGCTTGTATAGGTGTGACCCAGCTTGTATAGGTGTGACCCAGCTTGTATAGCTGTGACCCAGCTGGTATAGGTGTGACCCAGCTGGTATAGGTGTGACCCAGCTTGTATAGGTGTGACCCAGCTTGTATAGGTGTGACCCAGCTTGTATAGCTGTGATCCAGCTTGTATAGTTGTAATCCAGCTTGTATAGCTGTATAGGTGTGTACCCGGTACATGTTTCAAAATAATAAGGAAATGAACAGAATGACTATTTATTATTCACAAAAATACTTACATAACTATATATTCAACTATATGAATTACATTGCAAGAGACACAAGTGAAAGCAGAATCAACTAGAGGTGTTTGCGGGTACTTGCAGTAACAGAGCAGCCCTGCCACTGCCATTGCATCCAAGTTCTAAAGTGTACAATCAGACTTTCAGACCTCAATAACAACTTGTTAAGATCCAGTAATTACCAAGTCCCAAGATTGCACACGTGCAACAGTAACTGCCCATGAAACATTCATGCATGAAACATTCCTTAGAAACTTACAAAGATATAACCATGTGTTATCGTGTTTGAATGATATAACCATGTTTTATCATGTTTGTGGGTAATCTTTGTATCTCATGACCTTGACCTCTGACCATTTCATAACATGTATCACAAATATTCCACAGGGCCATTTGGATAAAGTACATGGATTAATAATCTCTCATGATCAGTGAGTTTTAGACATTAAAAGAATCACCTGTGACTGCGGTCACATTAAAAAAAAACCCTAGCAGTTGTGTTTCACAGTGCTACTAGTAATACTGACGACAGAGATCAAGGCATCCCCAACGCACACATCACACCTGAGTATTGTTGTTTTGGCAGGTATACACGATTGTGGCAGGGGTGTGGTAGCCATGTTCCCCATCACCAACAGGGATGGAATATACATACCAACATGTAGCCACGAACCTACATAGAGCAATCAATACAATCAATATAGAGAACACACACAGCAGCACTCGTCAACTCCACCCAAGATATCACCATCCAGGATATCACCATCCAACCAGTGCAACCCTTGACAGAAACTGTCACCATCAACTCTGTGTTTAGCTACAAAAGTCGCGACAAAATCATTCAAATTCCACTTGTTCATCCATTAGAGAAGATAATTTAGGGGTGTCAACTTCTTTATAATGAGGATCACAAAGTTTCGGAGTATATGCTTACTCCTTCATCTGGATGCCTTTGAAAGACTTGTTCATACATTGTGGTTCAATTAGTATATTTTCAGACAACGGCAAGTTCATATTAAATTTTTGTTATAAAAATATTTAGAAGAAATATATTGGTCAGCTGATTCTGCCCAACACTAATCAGACAGAGTGTTGATGTCATAATGAACATGTAACCAGAACAAGTGTCGTATTCTTTCTTTGGAGTCATGGTCCTGCCAGTTTGATGTTTCACACATGTATAGAGTATCAACAACAACAACATCATGTTTCCAGCTTCTACAATGGATATATCAGGATATTGAACACAGGGAGTTTCCCTGACCAACCTTCACCACACTCATCAAGACCAAAATCCATGATGGTGATCCTGGGGTAGGAACTGCAGTTCTTGGGAGTCCACACAAGGCTTGAACAGGAAGAGATGTCATGGCAGTGAAATGCATAATTTGGTCCCGTTCAAAAATGTTCAATCGCCAAATAAAGTAAAACATGTTTAGATTTGTATTTAAACAGGAACAAAGACATAACTGCTCCCTACAGGAAATCATAGAGAATCTCACCCCAGTGTCTTTTGTTGATACTTTTTATATCAAAAGACACGAGGGTGAAATTTTAGTTTTCATCCTACATCATTCTGTAAACTTTTTCAGTTTGTAGACAGTAATAAGCAGTGTCTTAAGTGTAAAAAGTACTGCTAGCAGCTTCAGTAGCAGAGCCGTTAGTGATGTCATTTGATTGTGATGTCATGGTAACCAATGAGAGCCAGTTTTGGATAATAAATGATGTTATTATATACATAGTGACAGGAAGTCCAGGTGAGTCTACCACATGGACATCCCTGTCAGGTAAACCACACATGTATGTGTCCTCACTCACACAGACTATAACCAACAACACACAGGCCACATGTAGGTGTCCACACTCACACAGACTATAACCAACAACACACAGGCCACATGTAGGTGTCCTCACTCACACAGACTATAACCAACAACACACAGGCCACATGTAGGTGTCCTCACTCACACAGACTATAACCAACAACACACAGGCCACATGTAGGTGTCCACACTCACACAGACTATAACCAACAACACACAGGCCACATGTAGGTGTCCTCACTCACACAGACTATAGCCAACAACACACAGGCCACATGTAGGTGTCCACACTCACACAGACTATAACCAACAACACACAGGCCACATGTAGGTGTCCTCACTCACACAGACTATAACCAACAACACACAGGCCACATGTAGGTGTCCTCACTCACACAGACTATAGCCAACAACACACAGGCCACATGTAGGTGTCCTCACTCACACAGACTATAACCAACAACACACAGGCCACATGTAGGTGTCCTCACTCACACAGACTATAGCCAACAACACACAGGCCACATGTAGGTGTCCTCACTCACACAGACTATAACCAACAACACACAGGCCACATGTAGGTGTCCTCACTCACAAAGACTATAACCAACAACACACAGGCCACATGTAGGTGTCCTCACTCACACAGACTATAACCAACAACACACAGGCCACATGTAGGTGTCCTCACTCACACAGACTATAGCCAACAACACACAGGCCACATGTAGGTGTCCACACTCACACAGACTATAACCAACAACACACAGGCCACATGTAGGTGTCCTCACTCACACAGACTATAGCCAACAACACACAGGCCACATGTAGGTGTCCACACTCACACAGACTATAACCAACAACACACAGGCCACATGTAGGTGTCCTCACTCACACAGACTATAACCAACAACACACAGGCCACATGTAGGTGTCCACACTCACACAGACTATAACCAACAACACACAGGCCACATGTAGGTGTCCACACTCACACAGACTATAACCAACAACACACAGGCCACATGTAGGTGTCCACACTCACACAGACTATAACCAACAACACACAGGCCACATGTAGGTGTCCACACTCACACAGACTATAACCAACAACACACAGGCCACATGTAGGTGTCCACACTCACACAGACTATAACCAACAACACACAGGCCACATGTAGGTGTCCTCACTCACACAGACTATAACCAACAACACACAGGCCACATGTAGGTGTCCACACTCACACAGACTATAACCAACAACACACAGGCCACATGTAGGTGTCCACACTCACACAGACTATAACCAACAACACACAGGCCACATGTAGGTGTCCACACTCACACAGACTATAACCAACAACACACAGGCCACATGTAGGTGTCCACACTCACACAGACTATAACCAACAACACACAGGCCACATGTAGGTGTCCACACTTACACAGACTATAACCAACAACACACAGGAACAGATACAAGGTCTTTTGGAGAATCTGTTAATGTTTCCCATACACGGATATTTTCTCATACCTGACTTCACAAACCACGCCTCTCTCAACCTCACACATTGATGTCACAGCTGATGGGAGACATCCGGGATGAAGTGGATGCAGGTTTGGCATATGTAGATTAAGGCACATACATACTGGGGTATCATCTTCATAAAAATAGCCTCGTACTATGCTGAATATACATATGGCAACAACTTGAGGACTTATCATATTATGCACCAAGGTCAAAGGGAGACAACTTTGAGATTATAGTTTCAAAACAACTCACAGATAATTCCATGAGGTTCCTGATAGTACCAGTGATACAACCTGCATGTCCAGTCTATGAACTAGTGTATAAACATGGTCCACAAGACCCAGGGCTTGCAGTCCTGCAGTAGGTCACTATACTATATACATGATCATACATCATTCATCATAACTATAACAAACGCAACTCTTCAGATTATGCGGTCTTCCCACCAATGTGATTTGTGAAGCTGGTGTGCATACAGACGCTAATGCTTGGTCAGTGTTCTTGTGTTTAGGACACTCTTAAGCATAAAGTATTTAACAGTACACACCAGGACTATTAAGCACAAAAAAAGAGAAAAGATTTGGTTCTCAGGTAATGACTTTTGAAAATATAGTGTGGGCGGGTAGTGTTTTTTGTTTTGCTTGTTCCAACTAGTATGTAACCACCGAAGAGTTGTGGGCCATCAACCTGGGAAAGTGCCTCCCTACATGAACATGCAGACAAACTCCTCATGCCGCCATTACCATAACATATATACATGTATATAGGAACACATTGTTTTTAGGTGTTAGGAGTTTTAAATTCTTTTTGAAAATGGAAATGAAAACTAAATGTGCGGCAGACTTTATGATGATGCAGGCAGTGCCTGAGAACCAAGACTATTTTTATTTAGCCTTACCATGGTGACATTGATTGAACAAGGGGGTAGAAAACGTGGATGTAAACTGTCACTGGTCAACGTGGGTGTATCTATAACACTGTCATAAAACTTGTTAAAAGACAACCTTTCATAAAACATAGGATTGGCCATCATACTGACCATTGTTGACCAGTAGAACCAGCAGTCCCACATCGAGAGACACGTGGTTCCACTACGCCTGGCGACAACCATAGAACCCTTGTACAAAATATAGCATGTATATTCATAACATATGTGCAAACAAAGCCACTGAGAAATATCAATGCCATTTATAACTTCTGACAACCCTGGGATTGTACAGTGGATGCACAGTGTAGAATGCAGACAGGAAATTGTCGACCAAAAGCCAATCTTGCCAGTATGATCTTTGATTGTGTGATTTTTGAAGTATGATCTTTGATGTACAATCCTTTACAACACTGTCACCTAATTACGGCTACTGATGTAAATGTTTTGCACACAACAGTCATTGACCATGCTAACGTTCATGTCCAACTCCTGGCTACAGGAATGAGACACAGACACAGAGGTCTCTCCTGTTTCCACGGACGGTCAGGCAGCAGGTCATGAAGTGGCTTAGGAACATTTGAAGAAGCCACATGTTGCAAGGAACGTACTCTCCTCGTACACCTACCTACCCCTCCAGCGTATCTCCGTGATCCTTGCTGTTGGCAATTTCATAGACTGGAGCCCGAGATGAGGCCTTGGAAGAATTGTGTGAATTACCAATCATGTCGGCATGGTCATCACAACTGGCCTTGGTGTTCACGGGATATTTCTTGAAGCATCTTTTCCGGATTTCAACATACAGAATGGCAATGACCAAGGGGATGGGAGTGAAGATGGCAGAAGCTATAGGAGCTACAATGCTGATATCTTTAGCTGGGGCAGGCAGGGAAAATCTCAACAAAACTATAGCTATTCCTGTATTTTGAATTCCAGTTTCAATGGCAATAGTGATGATATTTTTCTTTGACTGCCGAGCAAAGAAGGCAACAAGTCCCCCAAAGAAGAAGCCACAGTATGGCAGAAGGCAGCCGACGATGAGGACCACTGGTTCCAGCAGGCGGAATATGTACCAGTTCGCGTACACCCCAACGGTGAAAACAAACACAAGGAAGATGACAGTAATTGGTCGAATAATCTTCACCAGTTTCTTGGCCCATTCTGGTCTCTTGTGCTGGATGATGAGACCGATGGCGATGGGGATGACCAGCCCCACCAGGGACACGAAGATGTTGGTGAATGGAATCTTCAGGTTGGTTCCCTTGGCCAGGACATGCGTCCCCAGTGTGAACAACCAGAGGGGGATCAGAGCTGAAACATGACAACACAGACATCACCACAGACATCAACATAGTCAACACAGACATCAACACAGTCAGCTATGTCAACTCAGACATCAACACAGTCAGCTCAGACATCAACACAGTCAACTCAGACATCACCACAGTCAACTCAAACATCAACACAGTCAGCTCAAACATCACCAGTCAGCTATGTCAACTCAGACATCAACACAGTCAACACAGACATCAACACAGTCAACTCAGACATCACCACAGTCAACTCAAACATCAACACAGTCAACTCAGACATCAACAGTCAACTCAGACATCAACAGTCAGCTTTGTCAACTCAGACATCAACACAGTCAACTCAAACATCAACACAGTCAACTACATCAACAGTCAACTCTATCAACAGTCAACTCTATCAATGGAAACACAGCAACTCAGACATCAACACAGTCAACTCAGACATTAACACAGTCAACTCAGACATCAACACAGTCAACACAGACATCAACACAGTCAACTCAGACATCAACACAGTCAGCTATGTCAACTCAGACATCAACACAGTCAACTCAGACATCACCAGTCAGCTATGTCAACTCAGACATCGACACAGTCAACTCAGACATCAACACAGTCAACTCAGACATCAACACAGTCAACTCAGACATCAACACAGTCAGCTATGTCAACACAGACATCAACACAGTCAACACAGACAACTCAGACATCAACACAGTCAACTCAGACATCAACACAGTCAACTCAGACATCACCACAGTCAGGTATGTCAACTAAGACATCAACAGATTACTCAGACATCAACACAGTCAACTCAGACATCACCACAGTCAGCTATGTCAACTCAGACATCAACAGACAACTCAGACATCAACACAGTCAATTCAGACATCAACACAGTCAACTCAGACATCAACACAGTCAACTCAGACATCAACAGTCAGCTATGTCAACTCAGACATCAACACAGTCAACTCAGACATCAACACAGTCAACTCAAACATCAACACAGTCAATTCAGACATCAACACAATCAACTCAGACATCAACAGTCAACTCAGACATCAACACAGTCAACTCAAACATCAACACAGTCAACTCAGACATCAACACAGTCAACACAGACATCAACAAAGTCAACTCAGACATCAACAGTCAACACAGACAATAACACAGTCAACTCAGACAACACCAAAGTCAGCTATGTCAACTCAGATATCAACACAGATATCAACAGTCAACTTCATCAACAGTCAACTCTATCAATGGAAACACAGCAACTCAGACATCAACACAGTCAACTCAGACATCAACAGTGTCAACTCAGACATCAACACAGTCAACTCTATCAACAGTCAACTCTATCAATGGAAACACAGCAACTCAGACATCAACAGTCAACTCAGACATCAACACAGTCAACTCAGACATCAACACAGTCAACTCAGACATCAACAGTCAGCTATGTCAACTCAGACATCAACACAGTCAACTCAGACATCAACACAGTCAACTCAGACATCAACAAAGATAACACAGACATCAACACAGTCAACTACATCAACAGTCAACTCTATCAATGGAAACACAGCAACTCAGACATCAATACAGCTATGTCAACTCAGACATCAACACAGCAACTCGGACATCAACACAGTCAGTGATCTGAAATTATCTGTTTTTTCGTTGTGAAGGTGAATATATTGATAGAGGGAAGTCCTCTCTTGTTGCTCGTTACCTAGAGAAGCCACAGTACTGATGAATGTCATGGTAACGCTGAGAGAGACATCTCCTCCAATCAGGTATGAGTATATGTTGCTGGCAGAGCCCCCTGGTGAGCAGCCAAGGGCAAAGAACCCCAGACGTAGTGAAGGCTGGAAGGCAATGAAGTATGCGAACAGGAATGATATCTGAAACATAAACTTGTGTGAGTTAGGTGTGAGTTACATGGTATCTGCAGTAAGGTTACCAGGCATTATCTGCAATAGGCATTATCTGCAATAGGCATTATCTGCACAAGGCATTAGCTGCACCGGGCATCAGGCATTATCTGCACCGCGCATTATCTGCAATAGGCATTATCTGCACCAAGCATTATCTGCACCAGGCATTAGCTGCACCAGGCATCAGCTGCACCAGGCATCATCTGCACCATGCATCAGCTGCACCGGGCATTAGCTGCACCAGGCATTAGCTGCACCATGCATCAGCTGCACCAGGCATTAGCTGCAACCTGCATTAGCTGCACCATGCATCAACTGCACCAGGCATTAGCTGCACCGGGCATCAGGCATTATCTGCACCGGGCATTATCTGCACCAGGCATTATCTGCACCGGGCATTATCTGCACCAGGCATTATCTGCACCAGGCATCAGCTGCACCAGACATTAGCTGCACCAGGCATTATCTGCACCGGGCATTATCTGCACCGGGCATTATCTGCAATAGGCATTAGCTGCACCAGGCATTAGCTGCACCAGGCATTATCTGCACCGGGCATTAGCTGCGCAATAGGCATTATCTGCACCAGGCATTAGCTGCAATATGCATTAGCTGCACCAGGCATTAGCTGCACCGGGCATTATCTGCAATAGGCATTATCTGCACCAGGCATTATCTGCACCAGGCATTAGCTGTACCACGCATTAGCTGCACTGGGCATTATCTGCAATAGGCATTATCTGCAATAGGCATTATCTGCACCAGGCATTAGCTGCACTGGGCATTAGCTGCACTGGGCATTAGCTGCACCGGGCATTAGCTGCACCGAGCATTATCTGCAATAGGCATTATCTGCACCAGGCATTATCTGCACCAGGCATTATCTGCACCGGGCATTAGCTGCGCAATAGGCATTATCTGCACCAGGCATTAGCTGCAATATGCATTAGCTGCACCAGGCATTAGCTGCACCGGGCATTATCTGCAATAGGCATTAGCTGCACCAGGCTTTATCTGCACCAGGCAATATCTGCAATAGGCATTATCTGCACCAGGCATTAGCTGCACCAGGCATTATCTACACCAGGCATTATCTGCAATAGGCATTATCTGCACTGGGCATTAGCTGCACAAGGTGTTAGCTGCACCAGGCATTATCTGCACCGGGCATTAGCTACACCTGCTCAGAGGCTCATATTCAACCCCAAGTCTGTGCATCAAATGCAAACAATTCCTTAAGTTTCCAATGACTACTATAAATGTTATGGCTTTGAAGAGCAGACTTAACTTCTCTGAGAAGCATTTAGAAGTTGAAGTACTCAGTAAGGACAAGATATATGGATGAACAACTGTAATACAATTAGGATCGACCTTTCAGTGTAGGTTCTAACACTGTTATCAAGCATGTGATCAACACCATTGGGTGCAGGCTAAAACGGCACCACAGCAAAACGTCACCGATTTGCCAGGCTTAAAGGCTTCAATTTGTCAGGCATAAAGGCTTCTATTTGTCAGGCGTAAAGGCTTCTATTTGTCAGGCATAAAGGCTTCTATTTGTCAGGCATAAAGGCTTCTATTTGTCAGGCGTAAAGGCTTCTATTTGACAGGCGTAAAGGCTTCTATTTGTCAGGCATAAAGGCTTCTATTTGTCAGGCCTAAAGGCTTCTATTTGACAGGCGTAAAGGCTTCTATTTGTCAGGCATAAAGGCTTCTATTTGTCAGGCATAAAGGCTTCTATTTGTCAGGCGTAAAGGCTTCTATTTGTCAGGCATAAAGGCTTCTATTTGTCAGGCATAAAGGCTTCTATTTGTCAGGCGGAAAGGCTTCTATTTGTCAGGCATAAAGGCTTCTATTTGTCAGGCGTAAAGGCTTCTATTTGTCAGGCATAAAGGCTTCTATTTGTCAGGCATAAAGGCTTCTATTTGTCAGGCATAAAGGCTTCTATTTGTCAGGCATAAAGGCTTCTATTTGTCAGGCATAAAGGCTTTTATTTGTCAGGCGTAGAGGCTTCTATTTGTCAGGCGTAAAGGCTTCTATTTGTCAGGCGTAGAGGCTTCTATTTGTCAGGCATAAAGGCTTCTATTTGTCAGGCATAAAGGCTTCTATTTGTCAGGCATAAAGGCTTCTATTTGTCAGGCATAAAGGCTTCTATTTGTCAGGCGTAAAGGCTTCTATTTGTCAGGCATAAAGGCTTCTATTTGTCAGGCATAAAGGCTTCTATTTGTCAAGCGTAAAGGCTTCTATTTGTCAGGCATAAAGGCTTCTATTTGTCAGGCGGAAAGGCTTCTATTTGTCAAGCGTAAAGGCTTCTATTTGTCAGGCATAAAGGCTTCTATTTGTCAGGCGTAAAGGCTTCTATTTGTCAGGCATAAAGGCTTCTATTTGTCAGGCGTAGAGGCTTCTATTTGTCAGGCATAAAGGCTTCTATTTGTCAGGCATAAAGGTTTCTATTTGTCAGGCATAAAGGCTTCTATTTGTCAGGCATAAAGGTTTCTATTTGTCAGGCATAAAGGCTTCTATTTGTCAGGCATAAAGGCTTCTATTTGTCAGGCATAAAGGCTTCTATTTGTCAAGCGTAAAGGCTTCTATTTGTCAGGCATAAAGGCTTCTATTTGTCAGGCATAAAGGCTTCTATTTGTCAAGCGTAAAGGCTTCTATTTGTCAGGCGTAAAGGCTTCTATTTGCCAGGCATAAAGGCTTCTATTTGTCAGGCGGAAAGGCTTCTATTTGTCAGGCATAAAGGCTTCTATTTGTCAGGCGTAAAGGCTTCTATTTGTCAAGCGTAAAGGCTTCTATTTGTCAGGCATAAAGGCATATGTAGTTGAATTTATACTTTATTTCCATGTTATTTATCATGTTATGTTGTTTATGATGGTTTTACATTGTCATTTCCTGTTTTCCAGTTATTCACAGATATTCACAGTTGTCTTTTTACACAGCATGTTGTTTTTTACTTAAATTCTTCTCACATGCAGCACATCAAAAGTCCATTGTGAATCATTGTGATCTGACAGCACTCACTCACTTACTTAGTTTGGGTTTATACATGTGCTTTCCAACATATGTAAATTTCACGCACAGGCTCAACAGGCCATTTAGTGATGTGGTCGAGAAAGGATGTCGAGAATTTTGAAATATGCCATGGTAATAAGGTGGGGGAACTAAAGGAGTTTTATCGGTTGTGTGTTTTTATAGATTTATGTTTTATCGGTTGTGTTTTTTTAAATGTGGCTGAGTAGGCCTATTTGATTAGATAAATGCCGAGTGCTGTACAGGTTTGTAAGTTATTGAAGGGGTTTAATTGAGTTGCTAGTGTCATTTGGTTGCTGTAGTTTAGTGTGGATTTGAGTATTGTTCTGTGTTGTTGGAATGTGTGACATGTAGCATTACGTGTTCAGGAGTTTCTGAAGTTTGGTTGCAATGTGGGCATTTACGGGTTTGATGTTTTTTAATTTGGTGTAGGTGTGAGTTTAGTTCAGGGTGGCCTGTTTGTAATTTGGTTATTGCCCTGTCAATGTTTTTTGTTTTATGATGGATTTGGGGTTTTTGAGTGGCTTTTGTAGCACGTGTTTAGACTGCAGTTTGATTTCTGATAGTTGTTTTGCACCTTTTGGAAGATTTTTTCCTTAGTAATATATTTAATTCGTTTTTAGATATTTGAAGGTTGATGCTTACTTCTTCTAATTCAAGTGCTGATTTAGCTGCTTTGTCGGCTTGTTCGTTACCAAATGTTTTAACATTTCACAATTATTGGTGTTTGCAAGTGACCATGTGAGTTTAATTTCATCTATTTTTAGTACCAAGGTAAAAAAAAATAAGGTGCTTGAGGCGAGGTGACGTTTTCGCCAATCGCTGCCATTTTTGCATGGTGACATTTTGCTGAGGTGCCAATTTAGCTATAACCCACGCCAAGTGTTAAAACCTACCCCGAAACAACACTCCAAATTGTAATAAAGAAGTTGTTTGTCCATATATCTTATCCTTACTTAGAACCGACTTGCATATCATTGATGACAGAACTAACAATCAGAAAGAGGATTTAATTTATTTTTATTATATTGAATGTGACGTTAGATTATAATGTTAAAATACCTCTGAACTTAAAAATTGGATTTGGATTTTGTCTGGACACTAGATAGTTTTGAGCTACATCTGCAAAACTAGATGTTTATTTTATTAAAACCATGAGCCTAAATATTTTTTACTCAAACACATTGCAACAATCTATATTTTGTTCAACAATCTGAAGCGGAATAACTTTTTTCAGTCATTTTCTGGGACAATAAGTTTTTGGGGGATAAAATCCCAGCATGCTCACAAATACAGAATATGTAGTGGTCGGCCCCTAATTTTCCAGTCTGAAAGCATGATGACCTCATGCATGTCTGAGGACAAATAACATGAATATCTCACCGCAACGTTAAAGGGGCACTAATCTAACGCAATTCCCCGGACTGGTTGTTGCCTTTGTTATTGTTTTTTTCCCCCGTGAGTACCCGGATGATACGCAACGCAACTGAGCGTGACCAGGTGACCAGAGACTGGGCTACCGTCTGCAAGGACAGTTAAATAAACTTGGAGGCTGGAGGCAATATTTGTTTTACGCATTTTTGCATAAACACTGATTGGTTAACTGTGATCTATAAAGATTTTGACAAAGGGCGCATGTTAATTAATTTCTTCAGCCTAAACAAGCAGACAAAAAGAACGGCGAAGCTCATCGGATGTCGTCATTTGGAAATACCCCAGATGGTTATAGTTTAATACTAAAAAAAGTATCCATGCAGTGAAAGCATTTTCGGATTTCGGATTGCGTCGATAATACGATTACTACTCCCTTGTTGTCATCCACGTTTTCTCGTATAACCCTACACTTGTGTATTTGTCGTCATTCACTTGATGCTCAGTTAATGAATTTATTACAGGTACAATTAGTGGTAGCACCACTTAGATTACCTGACAAAGGTTCCCATTTGGCATTTATTGTGTCTGGGGTAATTATTCAATCTAAATCCAGATTTGAAGTGAGGTGAAATGTATGTTATGTAATATGCACGTGGCAGCCCAGCAAGAGATGAATGATCAGTTGATTTACTTTTTTTTGTAAATCAAGGGATCGTTCCTAGTCATAAAGGGGATTAACAGAAAATACGTTGATTGATTAATCACTGTTATCTTGCACAGTGGATATGTCAAAAGTGAGTGTTTACATGTCTAGGTTTACTAAAACAAAGGGAATACACTCATATCATGGCGTGAAGTGCCGATGTAAAAACAACATACTTTGTACAAAGGGTTAACTGATAATACGTTGATTGATTGATCATTGTTATCTATCACTCAATGGATTTTTTAGGAACCGTGGACGTTATGAAAATAGTTGTCACGTGGGCTTTCTCAGCCGACCCTTGAGACTTGACACCTATGTGAAACACCTGAAACAATCCAAGTGATCAGTTGAGAAACGAACACGGGTTATAATATCCCGAAACGATATATATCTTTTAAAATATTTGATTGTGACATAGACACGTGACATCGAATAAGTTTCTTTGTACAGCTGCAGACGAGTGGGATATTGTTCCTTTGTGTGGATATTCACCGATACATTCCTCGAACAAGGAAGCTGCCTAAAATTTATACACATAAATTTGGTAGGTTGTAATTATGGTATTTGCATTTTGTTTTCCTTCATTTGAACCGATTTGTTCTTGGTTCTCTACGTCTTGGTTGGGAAATTCTTCAATGCCCGAGAGACGTTGTTTTCACAGGTCTTTTCCTTTGTAAGCGTGTATATATTACCGTCAATTTGTAAAATGTGATTCTCTCAGGCAATTTATAAAATGTGTAAATATTTCAGTCATTTTGACTAAAAAATTTGTCCAGATTGATTAAGACTATCAAAACATCACAACAGATTATTATGTAGGATTAGAAGCCAAACAACATAGAAATGTACTTTTCAACGTAACATTTTCAGTCTCTTGGTGATGACATTAAACATCAAAATGTTTGGAATTCGTTATCATAATAATAGAGATGGAAATATTTTTCAGTCAATTTGTAAAATAACTGAATATTTAGACGTTTAATAAATATGTTACACATTTTGACAGTAAAATAATATACACACTATAAAAAAGCAATGCTCAGGTGAAATATTTACTTTGTGTTGCAAGTCAAAATAGTGTAAACGAAAATCACAAAATTACCAAGCAAGTGACTTATCAAAACTTCGTCACCATTACCGATGCTACCCACAAAGATACCTACATTTCCTTATTATCTCGAAAACTGTATTTCATTTTGTTGATCAATGTGACCATACGCCCTTATTACTACCAAAAGTCACTAAAAGTGACTAATGCGCTTACGAATGGCGCAGCAGAGGTCGCGAACTAGTCTAGATTTTTGCTATACATCCGAGTACTCACTGGGGAAAAACAATAACAAAGGCAACAACCAGTCCCGGGGAATTGCGTTAGATCAGTGCCCCTTTAAAGCGTACGGGTGTCCGAATAGGGACAAAAGTTAACTGAAAAGTGCAAATGTGTCAGTCACAATTAATAATTATCAACATCACATTAGAGCTAAGGTCTTTATGTTTCAATGAAATTAAATTTGAATACATAAAATAAAACAAAAGTAAAAGTTGTACATACCACTGGCATCAGGATAAACTGGGATGCTAGTCCTGTGATTGGTGCAATTGGTCTCTTCATGGTCTCCTTGACAACAGGAATTTCAACTTTACAGCCCATGGCAATATTTGCCACAACAACAAGGCAAATGACCACCACATTAAACACAGTGTCAATGGGTCTCGTTTTACGACTTACAATAATTTCATATTTTTTATCCAACTCACACCAAGTGTTAGCCGAGTTACTTCCCTTAGATAGGCACGACCCATTGCCGGAGGCTAAATCGGAACTGTTCGATAAAACTTTGACATATGTTTGCCCTAAAAATAACCCTCGTATTTGTATGGTAACATTTTCAGTTATGGGTAACACGTCTTTCCCAGTGATCTCGGCGATCTTTGGGTCCTCGGTAACGAAATGCACGAATGCGGATGTGGGTCTTGCGCTGTCCAAAGTTGTGTTGAAAACGACACTCTTCACGTCACTTTCGTCGATCAGTACGGGCGTTTCAGTCAATGCATCGAGCTTCAACGTTCCCGCAAATCCATGACGTACATGTAACAGAAACCCGCACAACACTGTCACAAACCACCGGAATGGACACAGTCCCTTCATGTTTCAGACGTCGGTCACTCGGTCGGCTCTCTGACGACCAGATCATGAAACATGTATCGGCGTTTGTGAAAACATATCACGGCCTAAACTCATCGACCGTTATGGGTCAGCACAATAAACTACCTGTCTGACTTGTCACCTGTGTTATGTAATATCCGTGTCAGATATAGACGAGGTGTGACCTCCCCGACTTTGTTGACAAATCTCAAAGTCCACGGTTAATTGAAAACTGTGGCTGACGCTCCTGAAACGAACTCAGAATAGCTGCCCACCCAGCGCTTTCCTGCTGGTTTGTGAGCTGCTCCTTGCCGTCGGCTGTGACGTGATAAACCGTAGATAAATTACCTTCACGCGTCACTAGATGAAGAGGAAATAAACCACATCAAATAAACATTTGGATGATTTGACATTGGCAGTAACAAGCCAATATAGCCCAAGATCCTGTTCCTCTTGATATTTTGTATTTTTGAATGTGTGTCTAAGAAACAGATTTTATGTACAAATTAACCAGAGTAAAACATATCATTGTTATTATATGTTGTTGTTCGCGTGTATATCTTCCTTATATATCTGCCTTGTCGAGTCCTTTCAATATTACGTTGATAGGCGTTATAGTGAGGAAGTAGCGTAGGTTCTTATGGGCGTGTAAGTAGTAACATGGCCGGGAGTGGTTGTAGCCCGCTATGACGTGTATCCCCGCCATCTGATGGAAGATACAGTATGTTAGTGCGCTGTGATCCAGCGACTACCGTCTGTGGTATTGTAGCAGTGCGATAACGGCTGTGTAGTCTACTCACGGGGCGGGTGATAAGTAGTCAACGAGCCTGGACGGAGGAGATAACGCGCGCTAGCTAGATATCTAGAAACAACCGAAGACTTCGTCTAGGGCATTGTGGTCTTGGTGCATATCTCAATGTTATTAATAAAGACATTTCTGCACATTGTTCAGTGTGTAATCAGCTTAACAATGTGGCCTAAATGGGTGGGCGTGACACCTGATAACATCGAGGATATTAGGTCTACATGGGCGGGCGTGACAACTGATCACATCGAGGATATTAGGTCTACACAGGTGGGCGTGGCACCTGATCACACCGAGGTTATTAGGTCTACATGGGTGGGCGTGACACCTGATCACACCGAGGATATTAGGTCTACACAGGTGGGCGTGACACCTGATAACATCGAGGATATTAGGTCTACACAGGTGGGCGTGACACCTGATCACACCGAGGATATTAGGTCTACATGGGTGGGCGTGACACCTGATCACACCGAGGATATTAGGTCTACATGGGTGGGCGTGGCACCTGATCACACCGAGGATATTAGGTCTACATGGGTGGGCGTGACACCTGATAACATCGAGGATATTAGGTCTACACAGGTGGGCGTGGCACCTGATCACATCGAGGATATTAGGTCTACATGGGTGGGCGTGACACCTGATCACACCGAGAATATTAGGTCTACATGGGTGGGCGTGACACCTGATCACACCGAGGGTATTAGGTCTACATGGGTGGGCGTGACACCTGATCACACCGAGGATATTAGGTCTACATGGGTGGGCGTGGCACCTGATCCCACCGAGGACATGAGGTATATTTGTTTGGCGTGGCACCTGATCCCACCGAGGACATGAGGTCTACATGAGTGGGCGTGGCACCTGATCACATCGAGGACATGAGGTCTACATGGGTGGGCGTGGCACCTGATCACACCTAGGACATGAGGTCTACATGGATGGGCGTGGCACCTGATCACATCGAGGACATGAGCTCTACATTTGCCCTGACAAATCAAGAAACATTCAGGGCGAATTTGAGATTCGAATCCACTTTCATTTCAGGCACGCCAAGGGGGCGCAAATCTGTACAGCTGATTGTGGCGCCGAGAGCTGCCCTAAGACATGAGAAGAGCTTCACATGAGGTGGGGTGAGGGTTGTGTGGCGGTGGGGTGGGGGCTGGGACACGTGCCACAGACAACTGGGGTGACAGATACTTGTTGCACAGTGTGACGCCCGTCAACCAGCTGGTAGTGGTCTGTAACACAACGCCAAGTATTGAATACAACACATGTCGCATGTTTAAATGTCACTGATATTTTGTTTCACAGTCAGTCAAATCTAATTTTGTCGTGACGTATCTACATTTTTAATATTGAAGAGTCGTTCATTGTATACAAACCATACCCTGATACACCTGGTCACGTGGTACTGGACAGGGTTGTAAAACCATGGGTGAGTGAGTGAATTACAGCATTATTTCAGCCATTAAACGACGAGAACAAGTTGATATAGACGCAAGTGAGTCATGAATGCAAAGTTATATTTTAAAACACATTTTTCAAACATATTTTATCATAATTTTATTTGCAACTGTTTAAAAATACGGGCTATAAACCGCCAGTAACCAAGGATAGGCCTCCTCGCCGGGGATCAGGGCGACTTACGGCGTCTCTGCTTCCTGCACGACGCCCCTGCAGGATGTACGTCATCACTTTAGCTTCTGGTGGTTGTGCACAACACCAGCCAAAACAGGTATACTAGGTATACGAGGTATACTAGCTATACTAGCTAAACAAACTATACAAGTTATACAAGCTATACAAGCTATACTAGCTATACAAGCCATACTAGCTATACAAGTTATACAAACTATACTAGCTATACAAGCCATACTAGCTATACTAGCTATACAAATTATACAAGCTATACTAGCTAAACAAACTATACAAGTTATACTAGCTATACAAGCCATACTAGCTATACAAGTTATACAAGCTATACTAGCTATACTAGCTATACACATTATACAAGCTATACAAGCTATACTAGCTAAACAAACTATACAAGCTATACAAGCTATACAAGCCATACTAGCTATACAAGTTATACAAGCTATACAAGCCATACTAGCTATACTAGCTATACACATTATACAAGCTATACAAGCTATACTAGCTAAACAAACTATACAAGCTATACAAGCTATACAAGTTATACAAGCCATACTAGCTATACTAGCTATACTAGCTATACAAATTATACAAGCTATACTAGCTATACAAGCTATACAAGTTATACTAGCTATACAAGTTATACAAGCTATACAAGCTATACTAGCTATACAAGTTATACAAGCTATACAAGCTATACAAGCTATACTAGCTATACAAGCCATACTAGCTATACAAGTTATACAAGCTATATTAGCTATACACGCAATACTAGCTATACAAGGTATACTTGCTATACAAGCTATATTAGCTATACAAGCTATACAAACTATACAAGTTATTATGAACTAAATGGTAAAATCACCGAGGAGCAAGGTTGTTTCAGGAAAGGGAGGAGCACAACTGACCACATCTCGCCGTTACCTTCAATTGCGGACACGAGGAAAAAGAAGAGACTATCAACATTTACTGCCTTCATTGATTTAAATAAAGGTTTACTCGGTAGATAGATCTATTTTGTAGGAGAAACTAGACGATCTGGGACTAACGGGAAACATGAGAAATGCTCTACACGCAACATACAACAATGTGTCTAGTTGTGTAATGAACTGTCTGGTATAATGTCGGTTGTGGAGTCAAACGAGGGTGCATGTTATCACCAGTGTTATTTAATATCTACATACATGATGTAGCAGTTACCTTGAAGGGTCTCGGTAAAGTTTACCGTTGACAATGACCTTATATGTATTCTGTTGTATGCCGAGGATCTGGTTGTTTTATCCAAGAGTAAATCAGATCTTTAATGTATGCTCGGCTGTTTGAAGTTTTGGTGCTGTAGAAACAAAATGAATGTCAATGCTGAAAAATCAAACGTGTACATTTCCGCAATCTGTCATGTTTCTGAGACTTCCGCAATATTTAACTGTAGTCATATTGTCTTGAATGTTCTTGATTAATATACGTATCTGGTTTTATTGCTGAATGAGCATCTCGACAACAAAGTCACAGCAAGTGCAGTCGCGTAATCAGCCAGTAGGGCTCTTGGTGTTGTTATCACTGCATGTAAATTCAGTTGTTTTTCAAGTTACCACTTACGGCTCAGCTATTTTGGGGAACTGGAGAATATTCATGTCTAACTACAATCCAAAATAGTGCGCGAGTGAGTGAGTGAGTTAAATGTTAACGTCGCATCGGCATTATTTCAGCCATATAGCGACGAGAACAAGTTGATGTATATACAATTGAGTCATGAATACAAATTTATATTTAAAGACAAGTTTTTCAAACATATTTGGGCATAACAACATTATTTAAAACAGTTACTTATCTACGAAGGCCACCAGTACCCAAAGCTAGGCCACCTCGCTGGGGACTTAGGGTGTCTCGGCTTCCTGCACGATGCCCCAGCAGGATTTACGTCATCACCTTAGCCACTGGGGGTTGTGCACCCTACCATTCGTCATCACTCGCCCCTTTCCGTGACCCGCTATTCGGCTTGTCCCGGAATAACACGAGTTGGTCACGAATGACACCATACGAGCCAATATTAAAAACTGCTCAGCAATGAGTCGGCTAAATACACTGGTCAATGACAGTTACGTTGCTTATGATAGGAATTACGTGTCACACAGGGGGACAACAATTTTACGGTACTTTAACTTCCTGGACAGAGCCTTCAATAATCTTTGTTGATAAAAGCATTACACCAAAATAAAAAAACAAGCAGTTAGTTATTCACATACATATTTAAAATCTGTGATACAGACCAATGTCTTTCAAGTAGCTCAGAATCAGATGCCCGCTCACACGGGAAAAAAGAGTGTTCACATTTTCTGTTTGATACCGGGAATCCCTTGCGATTGCAATGTCCACACCGTCAAGCAATATATGCTTGACGGTGAACCTTATTTCACAAGGGATACACTTAGGAGGTTCGTCCTCATCTGGTATAACCAGATACTCGTGGGTAGACCGACTATGGCCAATACGACATCATCGCAAAATAATCAAGTATTTTTATGATCAGAAAACTGTAAATCTAGGAGCTGCAAGAATTTGAACAATAGAGTTCATTCCTTTTTCATTGAACAACATGTGGTTGAATTGTACAATGTTCATTGTTTTGTTTCTCGTGATGTCATTAGAAACCGATCAGAGCTATATAACAAGTCACTTGATGAAGCTTGGACAAATCAGGTTGTAAACAATATTGGCAAGTTTCGGTCGTATCACCTGTTTAAATCCAATTATGGTTCTGAAAAATATGTAACTATGACAATGCCTAAACTACAGAAGTGCATTAGCTAAATTTAGACGCGGGGTTGACCCTATAAGACTTGAGACTGGGCGAGTTGAAAACCTACAAGTTGAGCAGCGCATCTGTCCCCCGTGTACAACAACTGTATGGAGGAGGAAGCACAGGTCTGAATCAATTGCCCCGTGTATTTGGATCTGCGTTTTTATCTTGAATGTTTAGCTT